CTGAGCCCCCAGGCGCCCCGTGTTTTTATGTTTTTTTTAATACAGGATCAGCTTCATGCATTTTATTTGGCTGTTATTCTCTTTAGTCCCTTTTAACCTAGACCAGTCCCCCTGATTTTTTGTATTGTTTTCCACCACAATGACTTTTAAAAAAAAGGCTAAGCCAGTTGTTTTGTAGAATGTCCTTCACTCTTTTTTTTTTTTAAGATTTTATTTTATTTATTTGACAGAGAGAGAGAGAGAGACAGCTAGAGAGGAAACCCAGCAGGGGAAGTGGGAGAGGGAGAAGCAGGCTCCTGGCCAAGCAGGGAGCCCGACAGGACCCTGGGATCATGACCTGAGCCGAAGGCAGACGGTTAACGACTGAGCCACCCAGGTGCCCCAAATGTCCTTCACTTTTGGTTAGAATACCAGATAGGTGATGTTTTATATCTCTTACTGTACTGTATTAGGAGACCCATGTCAGGTTGCCCCATTATTGGTGGCACAAAGTGTGATCACCTGCTGCTGCTATCTTAATCCTTATTGTGCACCAATCATTTCACTCCACACGCAAGTACCTTCAGTGACTTCCTACAGCCTTCATGTTGAAGTCCATACTATCCGGCCTGCTATTCAAGGTTTCCACAAGTGACTCCAACTTGCTTTTTTAGTGTTGTGTACAATTATCCTGACAGATGCTCTATACCCTTGCCAACCCATCTTTGGCTAAGTGCTGATCTGCACACATGCATGAAAAGACTCCCAGAGGCCTGGGAACAAACCAGCAGAAGAATGAGTGTAATAATCCTGAGTCTGGATACAGGCTCCAGAAGAAGAAGAAAGGGGAAGGGACAGGAAAAAAATAGCTACAGAAATTGTGGCCAAAAAGTTCCCAAATTTAATGAAAACTATAAACCTGCATATCCAAGAAGCTCAATGAACCACAAACAAAGGAAACATGAAGAAAACCACACCAAGGCAAACCCTAACCAAATTACTGAAACCTATGATAGGGAGAAAATCTAAAACCAGCCAGAGGGAACAGGACACATTCCACACAGAGGCATAAGAATGACAGCAGGCTTCTCGTCAGAAAGCCAGAAGATATTGAAGCTACATCTTTATAGTAAACTGCAAGACAGAAGACAATGGAGTAACCTCTTTACAGAACCAAAAGAAAAAAACTGTCAATTTTGAATTCTATATCCACAAAGTATCTTTCAAAAATGAAGGAAAAATAAAGGCTTTTTCAGACAAACAAAAACCAAGAAAATTAGTTGCCAAGAGACCTCACTGTAAGAAAAGTTAAAGCAAGGGGTGCCTGGGTGGCTCAGTCGGTTAAGCAGCTGCCTTTGGCTCAGGTCATGCATGATCCCGGGGTCCTGGGATCGAGCCCCCGCATTGGGCTCCCTGCTCAGCGGGGAGCCTGCTTCTCCCTCTGCCTCTGCCCCTCCCCCACCAACTCGTGCTTTTGCTCACTCTTGCTCTCAAATAAATAATTTTTTAAAAGTCTATTAAAAAAAAATTAAAGCAAATTCTTTAGCCAAAAGGTATATAAAACCGGGGAAACTCTTCGGGCGCCTGGGTGGCTCAGTTGGTTAAGTGACTGCCTTCGGCTCAGGTCATGATCCTGGAGTCCCGGGATCGAGTCCCGCATCGGGCTCCCTGCTCGGCAGGGAGTCTGCTTTGCCCTCTGACCCTCCCCCCTCTCATGCTGTTTCTCTCTCTCTCTCTCTCTTTCAAATAAATTAAAAAAAAAAAAAATCTTTAAAACCAGGGAAACTCTAAAAAAGGCATAAGTGAAGGAGAGTCAGGAAGGTGATAAACAACCCAACTTCTTCCTGCCTTGTACTACATGTAGCAAACTTCATGAACCAATTACTAGAAAACTGGTTCTCTTAAACAGGTATCAGCAAATGCTCAAATGGTCTCCCAGATTGGAGAACTGAGCAGCTACTCCATGCAAGGAAATCAAACTGGACTCAGAGATAAAAAATTTTGGAGACTTCTAAAAAGCAAAGAATTTATTTATTTAAAGAATAGACAATTACGCTGTGACAAAAACCTAAATAAATAAAGTGTAACAGAGAGAGTTACAAAGTAAATTATTGCCCATAAATCAAAATAAATTGATAAAAAAGAGATAATACAGGGGCGCCTGGGTGGCTCAGTCGATAAGCACCTGCCTTCGGCTCAGGTCATGATCCCAGGGTCCTGGGATCAAGCCCCACATCGGGCTCTCTGCTCAGGGGAAGCCTGCTTCTCCCTCTCCCACTCCCCCAGCTCATATTCCCTCTCTCGCTGTCTCTCTGTCAATAAATAATAAAATCTTTAAAAATAAATAAATAAATAATCTTTAAAAAAAGGAGACAGAGAGAGATATAATACACCTTATAATTTACTTGGCCCTCTAAATCTCACTTATGGCTCTTTTCATGATAGAATAAAAAAAAAATCCTTTGACAACTCCAAATCTAAAATGAAAATGTCTAATTATATGGGAGCTTAAGTAAACAAAGGAATCTAATGGACTATTACACAGCTATTAACTATTAGGACTAGGAGGGGCTTAGAGAAACATGGGACTGTTACAATGTGAAGTGAAACTGCAGTGCTGTAAAACACAGAATGAGCAATACTGGGGGAAAAAAGTGTTTCACAGAGAAAAGCCATATTAAACTTTCTGGAGGAAGAAAGGATTTTTATTATCATATTTGGGCAACGTAATTCTATCTTTTGATGTTTCTATCTATCTCCACTACAATATTAGTAAGATTTGTACTTCAGTCCTCTAACCATGAGTGATTTTTTTCTCATTAGTTTTTGTTACCTCACTCCTTATTTTATTTATTTTTTACTATGTTATGTTAATCACCATACATTACATCATTAGATCTCACTCCTTATTTTAACATTAAAAATGAATAAAAATAAAACACTTTCACAATTCTACCACAGAAAGATCTGTTTGAAATGAAGGCAAAAATTTTTTCAGACAAATGAAAGCTGAGAGAATTCATCATGAACAGACATGAATTATAAGAATGATTAAGTTCTTTAGGCAGAAAGAAAATATCACATGGAAATCTGAATTTACACAAAGGAATGAAAAGCACCATAAATGGTAAATATGTGGGTAAATATAAGACTTCTTCCTCATTAAAAAAAATCTTTAAAAGAATATTAACTATTTACAGCAGATGAATGCATAAACAAAAACATCACATTATACAGGCTTAAAAAGGAAAGAAATTCTGATACATGCTACAACATGGATGAACTTTGAAGACATTATGCCAAGCAAAATAAACCGGTTGCAAAGGACAAATTTTGATGATTCTACTTATATGAGGTATGTAGAATAGGCAAATTTAGAGAGGCAGAAAGCAGAATGGTGGTTGCCAGGGACTGGGGGGGGTGGGGAGGAGGACGATAGGAGGGTTATTGTTTACTGGATACAGTTCAATTTGAGATGATGATGAAGTTCTGAAGATGGATGATGGTAATGGCTGCGCAACAATATAAATGTACTTAATGTCACTGAATGGCACATTTAAAAATGGTTAAAATGGTAAAGTTTACATTATATATATTTTACCATAAAGAAAAAAAATACCAAAAAAAAAGTCACCCAGAAAGGTACTTGCACTTTGTCCTGTTCCCAACTCTCGACTTCTTACAACTAATTATGCTCCCCCCATACCCAAGCCCAGCCAAATACTAGATAAATAAGAAATGTTAAAAATAAATAAATAAATAAAAATAAAATAAATGATGTATATATATGTATATAAACACACACAAATAATTCTTAACTATTTACAGCAAAAATAACAGCAATGCATGTCAGGGTTGATAACATGACACACAGAAATAAAATGCAGGACAACAGCACAAAAGGTTGGGGGGAATGGAAATGGAGTGTAATGAGTGTAAAGTCAGAATAGGCCAGAAGCTATGATGAAGGCATAAACTGTAGAAATGAGAACACACTGAAGAGACATTTCTGGGATAAAAAAGACAATGACTGACTGGATGAAAATGCTTGAGAGAGAGGTCTTTCCTTCTCTGGGCCTTGACTGGTCCTAGCAAGCAAATGACTTCATAAGCCCTTACATCTCTTCCACTGGACTAATCATAACGTAACATTATTGTATTACTTTGTCAATTTTACAATAACATTGTATTACTATGTTCATTTCCCCCATTACCATAAGCTCTTTCATGACAAGAACTTCAGCATTCACTTTTAGGTCCTTCACTGTCCAATGCATATGGTAGGCACTCAACATTTGCTGGGTAAATGGAGGATAAATGAACGATAAATGAACTTACATTTTGCTTTTTCTTCTCCTGAACCAAAGCTACGTAGCGCAAGGCAATCTTGGTCAGAGTTGTAGCAAGGGAGGCAGCAACAAAGAAATCTCCATCCAGAAGGAAGCCTCTCAGGGGAGGTCTGCAAAGCAATCAAGGAAAATGAAACCCAACCATTTCTTAAGCAGCATGCAGCTTTTGCATAAATTATTCAAATAAGCCTATTTAACACTCTCACTGCCACCCTTCAGTGAAGAGGATCTCAATTAGCTCCCTCTTTAGCTTTTAGAATAGAAAAAGGGAAATATACATGGTTTTACCACTTACCTTCAAAAGAGCTAGAGCCAAGTGAATATGGAAAGAGAAAATGATTCCGAGTGTATGTACTGGAGCCAATGAGCTACTTCAAATTCCAACTTATCTATTTATTGTGTCCCTACAGGTAAGTTACAAACCTTTCTAAGCCTCAAATTCCTCTTCCGTAAAATGGGGATAATAATAAACTGTATCTCAATAAGTTGTTAAGACTATAAGAGACAAACTACTTACTACAATGCCTAGCATATAGTAACAACCATTAAAATTTTAGGCATTATTTTTATCACGTTCATTATAAAATTGGAGAGCAAAATAAGGCAGAAAATATTAAAATTTTAGTCCATCAACTAGAAGTGGAAAATCTTCAAAATATGTTTCCCAAGCACTAATACAGGCAACAAAATTCAGTTACCTCCACTGAGCATTTTCTTTAAATCTTTTTTTAGGATTTTATTTATTTATTTGAGACAGAGAGAGAGCGTACAAATGGGGAGAGAGGGAGAGAGAGAGGGAGAGGCAGACTCCCCGCTGACTAGAGAGCCCAACATGGGGCTCGATCCCAGGACCCTGAGATCATGACCTGAGCCAAAGTCAGATGCTTAACTGACTGAGCCACTCAGGTACCCCTCCACTTAGCATTTTCCATGTGAGTTAAAATAATTTTAAACAGAACAGTTATTTCAATGAAAACAGTTTTAAGGAGCAGAGGATTAAAACCATCAACACAATTCCTAGGAGAAATTAAACATCCTCCTTTCAAGTATCTTAAATGGCAAAGATTTCCATTTTGGTCAAAAAAAGCAAATAAGAGGAAAAAAATCATTTGTTCTATACTCAGGAGTAGTAATTTAAAAAGTATAGATGGTAGGGCACATGTGCTGTAGATTACCTTTCTTCCTCTTTCTTCGTGGGTCGAGAACTGCTTAGGGCACTCTGAGTTGCATAGGTGCCCATCTCAGTTACCAACTTCTGAACTGGCCCCACAGTTATTTCCTCTTCAGGTTTTAATTCTCCAGCTTCTTTCTTTATTTCTGACTCCACAATTGGGATCTACAAATCAATTGGAAATACCAATTTAGTAATAACATCAACAGCAAGCAAAATCGTATTTAAATATTCAATCATTTCTATGGAGAAGGCAATTCCACCAATGGGATTTTTGCAACTCTGCATTCAATTTTCTTTCCTTCCCAGGATGACGTAGTGGGAAGAACAGGGGCTTTGGAGTTGGATGCTACTTAGTTGTTGAATGGTTCTGGGCAAGTTAATTAAACTACTCAGTTTCTTTATCTCTTAAATGGAAATCTTAAATCTATCCATACAAGTTACTTAATAGGAAAACGTTTAGGACAGTGACTAAGACAAAGTACATACTCACTAAGCCTTATTCCTCTTCTCTATCCCTTCCTCTGAAATACTAACCAAAACAGCACCTGTTCCAAAATGAAATAAATCTGACTTATGTGTACAGAATAACTTTATCAACTACCTTTTTTTTTTTTTAAAGATTTTATTTTATTTTATCAACTACCTTTTAAAAAACCAGATGGCTACTATGTATTTATTCCTCAATACCAATCATCTAACTTAAGCTCTAAGAGTCTTCAATCATTATTGGTCAATTCCTTTTTTCATACGTGAAAAACCTGAAGTCCAGTCAGTTAATATAAATTAAGAAATTTATATCCAAGGTCCCAGAGTTAATTAATGGCAAAAGCAAGACTGTAACCCAGGTCTCCTGACAAGCACTATTCTTCCTATTCTACCATATGGTTGTTTGGGTGAGGAAAACACTGCCAGTTTTAGTACACAAATAGTCTAATGTCGGGCGCCTGGGTGGCTCAGTTGGTTAAGCGACTGCCTTTGGCTCGGGTCATGATCCTGGAGTCCCGGGATCGAGTTCCACATTGGGCTCCCTGCTCAGCACGGAGTCTGCTTCTCCCTCTGACCCTCCCCCCTCTCATGTGCTCTCTCTCTCTCATTCTCTCTCTCAAATAAATAAATAAAATCTTTAAAAAAACAAAAAA